ACAAACTGGATATATTGGTAAGTATGAAGTTCAAGTTTTGCATGATTCAGGCAATACAAATGTTGTGGTTAATAGTGCATATGTTGAGTCAGCACAGTATACCGGGGAGGAGAAAGTGGTTATGCTATAGATGGCACAGTTAAAAGTTTTCCCGTTGCTCTAATTGATGTGGATACCCCATTTTTAGTAGGATCGGTGCAAGCTGTGGTAATGGAAAGTGCTGTTTGTGATCTCATAACTGGGAATGTGCAAGGTGCTAGGGATGCAAACGACCCAAATAATGAGTGGAGAAAGAAACAAGAAATAACAGCAGCAGTGATGACTAGAAGCCAAGCTAAGGCAAATGAAGTGAAAAAGGTGAGTAAGTTAAAAGTTGTAAGCCCAATAGATGAAGTAACCCCAGAGGATTTGATAACCAAACAAAAGTCAGATCCCACATTGTGCAAGCCAAGGGAATTAGTGGGGACTGGCAAGTATAAGGATAGGGGCTGTGGAGAATTTGAATATGTTTATGACGATATTAAAGGGGATTTTATTTAGAGAGTTCACCTCGCCCAAAGTGGAGTTGGGAAATATCATAAGAAAAGTTGTTGTTCCTAAATGTTTTAGAAATCACGTTCTCCGAATTGCACATGAATCTATTGTAGGGGGACACATGGGAAGTAAGAAAACTTATGATAAAATTCTAACTTGTTTTTTTTTGGCCAGGGATGCAGGGTGATGTAAGACGTTACTGTCAATCTTGCGACATCTGTCAACGGACAGTTCCAAAAGGAAGAGTTACTAAGGTACCCCTAGGCAGTATTCCAGTTATTGGTGAGCCATTCCAGAGAGTTGGGATTGATTTAGTGGGACCAATCAAACCTATCACCACACGGGGCCATAAATTTATTCTAGTTTTAGTGGATTACTCTACCAGGTATCCAGAAGCCGTTCCCTTAAAAAACATAGAAACTGTAACAATTGCTGAGGCTTTAATTTCAATTTATTCAAGATTGGGATTCCCAAATGAAGTGTTATCCGACCAAGGGTCCCAATTCTAAAAGTCTAAATTAATGTCTGAAGTTAATAGACTGTTGTCCATTAAGAGTTTCACTACAACACCTTATCATGCTATGTGTAACGGGTTAGTAGAAAAATTTAATGGAACCTTAAAGGGCATGTTGAAAAAGATGTGCGAAGAGAAGCCGAAAGATTGGGATAGGTATATAGACCCATTATTATTCGCCTACAGGGAGGTACCCCAAGAGAGCACTGGTTTCTCACCATTTGAGTTACTATATGGTCGTAGCGTTAGGGGGCCCATGATGATTATCAAAGAGTTATGGACAGGGTCTCGTACACATTGTGAACAAAAGCCAGCCTATAACTATGTTCTTGATTTGAAGGATAGATTGGAACACACATGTACAATAGCCAAAAATGAATTACATAAAGCTAGTAAACGCTACAAGAAGTATTATGACAAAAAGGCGAAACCTAGAGAGTTAGAAATATGGAACGAGGTTTTGGTTTTACTCCCAACAGATTCCAACAAATTACTATGTCTTGGAAAGGGCCATTTCCTATTTCCCAAAAGGTAAACCCTCTTAACTATCAAGTGAACTTTGGCCATCGTGAGAAAGTTTTTTTATATTAATATGTTAAAAAAATATGTAAGAAGGAACAGTGAGAAGAAGGTAGATGAATTAGCGTGCATTGCGGTGGTTGAGTGTGAAAAGAATGAAGAGGAGGTACTTGATAGAGAAAAGGAGCAGGTGGTGATGGCACCTCTTAAATGTAAGGAGAGTATCAAGGATGTAAATGTTTGCCCGGATTTGCCTATAAAAGTAAACGTATGGAAGTAATGAGTGTTATGGGGAAGTTTTGTGACGTAATGACTGACGTACCGGGTAAAACCAATTTGGGACAACATAAGATAATACTAAATAACAATACTCCTGTAAGAAGTAAAGCATATCCCATCCCACATGCTAGTCCTGTTCTAGTTAATAAACCAGATGGGACGAAGCGTATGTGCTGTGATATGCGTAAAATTAATGTACTTACTGTATTTGATGCCGAACCTATTCCGGATCCCGATGAGGTATTTGCAGTTTTAGCAAAAGATGTGTTCTTTACTAAAATCGACCTAAGCAAAGGTTATTGGCAGATACCTATGGCACCAGAATCAAAGCATTTGACGGCCTTCACTACTCATGTTGGACTTTTTGAGTTTGAAATGATGCCTTTCGGTTTAGTTAATGCATCAGCCACTTTTACTCGCGTTATGCGTAGATTGTTACAAGGGTTACCTAATGTCCATAATTACATTGATGATGTATTAATACATACCGAAACATGGGAAGAACATTTGGATACTTTTCACAATGTACTTCAGAGGTTAAGAGATGCAAATTTAACTGCGAGACCAACTAAGTGTTACATAGGGTACAGAGAGGTAGAATTTCTCGGACATGTAGTGGGTAGTGGGAAACTTAAACCCAAATATGATAAAGTAAAAGCAATAAAAGATGCTAAAAGACCTACTAAAAAAAGTCAAATGAGGTCATTTCTAGGACTTGTAGGATATTACAGGAAATTTGTTGATAACTTTGCTTCTATATCCGCTCCTTTTTCTGATGTAACCAAGAAACGACAGCCTAATATAATAGCATGGAATGATGAGTTAGAAAGGGCGTTAACATTTCTTAAAGAAAAATTGTGTTTAGGCCCTATTTTACAATTGCCCGACATCAACAAAGAATTTATTTTAAGGACTGATGCGTGCAACACAGGTATTGGTGCAGCATTACTACAGGAAACGGCTGGAGAAATATTTCCCGTTTCATATGCGAGTAAGAAACTCAATGAGACCCAAAAGAGATATTCGGTTATTGAAAAGGAATGTCTTGCAATTATATGGGGAGTGCAAAGATTTGAACCCTACCTTTATGGTACAGAGTTTGTGATCAAAACAGATCACCAGCCTCTCACATCTCTTAGAAAAACACAGGTGGCAAATGGTCGCATCTTACGATGGGCTCTTATTTTACAACCTTTCAGATACCGAATCAGGGTCATAAAAGGAGTAAATAATGTCGGAGCAGATTATTTAAGTCGTATATAAATTTAACATCAGAATGTGTTTGCTTGTATGAAATTAAATGTATTTTTTTTTTATATATAAATAAGTTGAATATATGCCTACATTGATTATATGCCTACAATTGGCCAGAAAATATTTGATTTGGAATTTCTGCTCTCTGTTACCCATATTGATGTTTATGATTGATTATGTGTAGTTAAGATAATGTAAGTGTATTTTGTTAAATAGCGGTGCATTTAACTTGCGTTGGGGGTTAATTGTCACGGTTAAAACGATCATCTAGCGCTATAATTTGCGTATTTATAATGGAAGCAATTAAGCATGACTTTAATTAGCGTAATCATTGTGTGAGGTGTACCGCCGTATAAAAACAAAGTATGCTAAATCATGCGACACACCTCAAATGATACGAACTACTTACGGTCACGTAAGGGAGGTGTCGTCAAGACAGCCCTCAGTTTAGATGTTCATTGTGAGTACAAATACATTATATTTTGTTTTACTAATTAGTAAATTGTTATAATTATCATAGGTTTGATTAATGATTAATTGTAATGAAATGAATGGTGGTTATTAGAAAATTGATTTTATTTGTTATAGTGCCACCTGTGTCTGTACCTGTGCATGTGCCTGTTACTGACCGATACCATGGGAGTTGAATAGTTATGTTACCGTATATGTGCAACGATAAACCGTCAGGAAGAACTATTATGTTGTTGAGAAGAGAAGATGCACACGGAATTTTATTTATTAAAGACTTTACTTTTATAATTTAACTTGTTTTTGCAGTGTACTATTATTTGTCTGTTACCCCATTATGCCTCATCATTGCAGTTCACCTTTAGTGTGACACCACTATAGACACGTTTTGACAAAAATGAAAAATTACGACTTTGTTACCCAATGAGAAGTGTTCTAATATAGACAATGGGTCGTGTCTCATATTATTTGTTATATTTTTATTATTCATTATTTTCACTTGACTCGCATAAATAATTTTGTTCAAAGAACATTTATGTGCAGTTGTATTTCGCAGCACTTCACTTGCAATTTGCAATTTCTAGTATATTTTATAATCATTATATTATTATATTTATTATTATAATTTTAATGTTATTATAATTATTAATATCATATATAGGCCTAATATTATTTTTCATTAGGCCTATTACTATTCTTATTACCGTACTAACTTATTATATTATCCCACTAATTATTTTTTAGAAGAATCTTAACATACCTTTGTAAAATAATGTATATTTGTATGAATATAAAGCACAAAAAAAAATACACATATTCAGGTACAAAGTTTTTATTTTTCAATTCACGACGGAAAATGTTTTAAAATTAACGGTTTTCTTTTGTTTTGTTTTTTTTTTCAATAAATCTAAAACTTCGGAATTAAACAGGAACACCATTATTCCTGGTAAATTTTTTTTTGGTAAACTGTTTATTTCAGATTGGCAACACCCAATATGTTTTTTAGGAACGTAACACCTTGCAAAAACTGACAATAAAAGTCAACTATTCATTTCACAACACAGGGACCACCTAAAACTAACTATTTTAACCTGCCGTCTTGAATAAATCAATATCATATAGAGTTGTTGTCTGGGCCGAGTTGGTTTTGGTCCGAGCTGGTTTTGGGCCGAAGTGTCGTCTGGAGCCGAGTTGATTTTGGTCCGAGTTGGTTTGGTCCAAGTTGGTTTGGTCCAAATTGGTTTGGGCCGAATTGGTTTGGGCCAATTTGGTTTTGGGCCAAAGTGACCAGCATTCTAATAGTAGGCCCTAATTAATAACAACCTATCCGATAATGATATCATGACATAATAACATATGAGGCCTACATACAGGCCTAGGCCTAGCTAGGCCTAGGCTATATAATTAATATTAATAATAATAGTCTACTCACCGAAATGACATGTTTTGTATTGATACAGACTACAGCAAACTTTAATACATTAATGATGTGTCTACACCCAATCAATATGCTTAGTGGCAATGAAACCTTGTAGGCCAGGGCCTAGGCTAGGCCTAGGTAGGCTCGGAAGCTGTGTGATCCTGCCTTTCCTTGAGAACGAAGCTACTTATGCATATTACTAGCTATATCACAGAGGCTGCTGAATGAAACAGATTGTGAAAAGGCTTCCTAGCCTGGGAATGAGATTTGATTTAAAAATCTAATTAACAGTACATACGCTAGTCAAAAAGAATTCTGGAAAAGTGTTTTCTTGACAGGGTAATAATTTTTCCGTAAAAAATAACTTGATTTTACGCTGAAATGTGGACCAAACTAAGACAAAATAATCATTGCAGCAGCAGCAACAGCCATCGCTCATCATAAATTCAATCATACTCTTTGATTCAATCAAAACAATGCTGCCCGGCCCATCGCAGGTCAGAGTTCATCGTTTATTCTTGGCGTTCGTTCGCCGTTTTCGCTTGGATAGCAGAGAGTCAAATAGGCCTAGGTTTTTCATCATTACGCCTTAAAAGTAAGTTTAATTTGTCGAAGAAATACTTCAGTATACTTCTTAGCCTCTGTTACTTTGTTTTTTAATGCAAGTAAATGGAACATTTACTTTTTTAGTCAATGCGTACGTTGCGTATGCCAAGGCCGGTGTCACGTACACCGGCCCTAGGCGAAGGCATGGCTAGTCCTAGGCTAGGTCCTATGGTCTCGTACCCAAATTTTGGCAGACTCGTACACAAAATTTGGTAACCCACGTTTATTGTAGGATCTACCTTTGAATTTCAAACATTAACCGTGAGTATTATCAATTTTGATATTAGTAGCCATGTTCCTTATACAGTAAAGAGTGTTTTAATTGTGGGAATGAAAATCACAAGGAAAATTGGGAATAAGCGAGTCAACTCGGCCCCAATGTATTTACTAAATAATTTTGATTTGAATGCAAACCCGAACTATGCCAAAATAAATAATAATGATGATGATAACGATATGATGTCATGACAATAATTAATACTGCAATAACATAACAATACTTAATGAGTTATATAGACATATTAAGTATACATTACGGTAGGTATATATATATATATATATATAACATAGTGAGGTTCCATGTGTGTTTCGGTACGATAACAAAGCATATAGGAAACGAATACCATGTATAGACTTCAGAAACACTTTATTGGAGAAAACCAATATTTCGACCTATCCTCAGGTCTTTATCATACATGTATATATACATATGTTTTATATATATACATAATACATATATATAATGAAGTTAATATACATTTTAAATACACTATATGTATGTATATTTTATTTTATTTTATTCAATTTCCAGGTGAAAAAACACAAAAGTATACATAAAACAACAGTACAATCAACACCTGAGAGTAGCCATAAGTGGGATCAATTCAAAGAATTGCACTGTCAAGTGGCTTTCCCAACTAAGAGTACTTAAAAATTATTTAAAAAAGTATTAAAATTCAATATAATTGATCACTTTTTTGAGCTCCCTTTTAAATCCTTCAAAGTGAAACAAGGCTTTATTACGAACATCACAAGGAATATGATCCCAAATTCGCGGGAAGTTCACAAACGGAACATTTATAAGCCTTAGTTCTAGCATAAACATGTTTAAAGGTGAGTGTTTCAGGATATCGGTCATTTATGACAAGGTGATCTAATACATCAAGATCGTTTAGACGAATTCGATCCAACTCGGCCACAAGTCAACTCGGCCACAGTCAACTCAGCCACAAGTCAACTCGGCCACAAATCAACTCGGCCACAAAAAGTTCGGCTGCAGTCAACTCGGCCCCTTTCCCCTTACTGGATCTTCTGCTGTTGATCTGCCCCCCCCCCCCCTTACTGGATTCTCCCCTGTTGATCCGATCCGTCGTGTTTATGTAAATTTGAGGTGTTGATTGGTGGAGCTAGCTTGACCCTAAATTTCGACTACCTCCATTACTGGATTCACCCCGGGAAGCTCACTTGAATAATGAGACACTGCGCTATCTATTTTATTGAAAATTCTTATGGACTTGAACTACCATTTACCAAAATCGCAATGTGGTCTAAAATACGACAGGAAAAATGCCACTCAATAGTACCAAAGAGGGCGCAATATTGACTGGTTCCAGATGACAGAAAGTGTTCCGTCTGGTCGCGATCTCATGGCTGTACCTAAGGTAGGTTTAGAAAACGGCTTAGCACCCAGTCTATCTTGAAATTCCTGCTTTAACTTTGTGGGGAAAATTTCACCCCGGGTATTTCCTACACTTGTGCTACAAAGTCCTCGCCAGTATACCCGGTAAGTACTGCAACTTCCCCCATTTTTTCCACACTTGTGCTACCAAGTCCTCGAAAATATACCCCGTAAATGAGGCACCTCCCCGTATAGAAATATTTAAGAATGAACCCCCCAGGGGATCCGCACCCTGTCAATCCAACGTGTTTACGTAAATTTGAGGTGTTGATTGGTAGAGCTGGCTTGACCCTAAATTTAAACTTCAGTCTCGCTATGTTTATGTCATGCTCTATGGCATTGCGGAAGAATACTGTAGCCATATTGTCTCAATCCAAATTGACCCAGATTCGAAAGATAGGGGCTTACGGACGCTCTAGTACTGTAGCTATGCTAGCTAGGCTAGGCCTGTACGGGAGGGCTAGGGTAATCCTAGGCCTAGAAGAAATTAAAAGGCCTTGGCCTAGCTTTTAATATCATGCCTAATTGTGCCCAGGCGTACGTTCATGTTTACTTGATCGATTTGTAAAACATGCCATTTATTCAATTGCTAATGTGTTTGAGGCATACTACAGTAAAACATTTCAGTATACAATAAATACTCCTCTATGTTCGTGTCGTTTGAAGCAGATACAGGGACATGCTGCTCATATATTTTGTGACGTAATGAACCTGCGAAACAGGCTGTTTCTTTTACGGCCTGACGCGATATTTTTCCAACCTGAGAACTGCGGTACAGATTAACAGAGGGGATTTATTTATGTGACATATTAGCTACTGGTGAAACTTGGCGAAAAAGGTACTGATTTTCCATGGTTTTTGGCTGTTTTTTGCGTGGTTATTCAATATCCAGCCTTGAAAAGTAGCGGAATGTGGTCATGACTAGAAACCCCAGTGTATGAGATATGAGTACATTCCTGCCAGTGGTTTCAGAAGAGATAGGTCAAGTTACGCAGAGGCGATTAGCAGAATTAATATAGATGATTGTCAAGGCATCGAAACTGTAAGGAGGGGCGCTATAACATTAGCAGTGAGTAGTCTCAGAGCCATATAGGCCCCTAGCCACTTGAGTTTAGGTCTACAGTCTACACTTCGAAAATTAGATTCTTTTTGGTAGACTAATAGTAATAATAATAATATCTGGAATTTATAAGGCGCCAATTCCAAAAATGATTAAAGGCGCACTATGCAAGTGTGATACCTCGGAGAACAAAATGGTCTTAATTTGCGATTTAAATTTTCAGAGATTAGAAGAAGTAGTTATATTAATAGGAAGCTGGTTTCAAAGAAAAGCAGAAGCAAAGGAGAAGGAGCATTGACCATAGGTCTTGGTAGAATATTTGGGAACAGAGAGGAGATTTCGAGAAGATGAACGGAGACAGCGAGATGGAGTATACTTAGTAAGCAGGGCATTTAAGTAGGACGGGTTACTAGAACATAACGCTTACGCTTACAGTATAGTAAGAAATATTTAAAATTATATTTCCAACCAGTGCCCTAAGGACTGAGCAGGCGCTGGGTTTGGGAGTGGGGGAGATGGGAAAAATCAGGATAATGATTTTCAATCGAGAGACAAGTCTCTAAATTGGGAGTCTCTCGGCCAAATTGGAGAGTTGGCATGCATCATTCAAAAGGGAGATCCTATTCCAAACATAAAATAACAAGTTGACCTACTATACACGTTTTTTTCCCGAATTTGCCAAGATTACCAACATAGCAAACAGATTTTTACAATAAACATGAAAATCTCTTCTCATTCTGTTTTACCAATGATCAATATTGTGACTTTAATCAAGTCTGGTATATTTATTTCAGAAAATTATTATGGGTAAATCCAAAAGGGAAGATGAAGAACTGAAGAAGCTGAAAAAACTTAAGAAACTCCTTGGGGAAGATAAGCTCCGCCAGGAACTTGAGAAGATCTCTGGAAAAAGAGAAAGGAAGAAAAGCAAGAAGAAATCGAGACATTCATCAGAAGAGGAAGGAGTTTGGGAGGAAAGGACATTTACAGAAAAGTCTGGGAATAAAGATTCTTCGGACAACCAACATAAAAATGAAAGGTGCATAATACCAATATACTGTAATCATTGATAAAGGAGCAAATAATTGATGAATCTAAAATCATAGCATGTACTAATAGAGGTAAGGGCGGTTTGATTCCGCGGTTGCATTTCTTTGCGGTCGGTTGTTCAATCCTTGAAGTGCATTTCGCGTGTGTGTTCTTGGGCTAGGCACATTACCTACGGTTGTCTCTCTCCACTCAAGAGTAGAAATGGGTTCCCGGGAGGTTCAAACACAAAATGTGCTGATCTTAGCTGCAACAACCAAAAGGTCCACTGATTAATCTCAGATAAGAAAGTATAATACATACTCCAAGTATTGAAATACACGCCATCGTGTTGGGATTCAATATTTCGACATTAATTATTCCCGATGATGACATAATTAATGTCGAAATATTGAATCCCAACACGATGGCGTGTATTTCAATACTTGGAGTATGTATTATACTTTCTTAGCTGCAACATTATGGAATTCTCCACAGGTACTGAGTAGGTATTCCATATGAGCTTGATAATGTGAAGTGCTAAGTCTAACATATTATTATTGTACAGGTAAAACTTGATGAGCTTATAGTAGCATTTTTTGGGCTCTATATTGTAGAAACTTCCCTAGTTTGGCAGATAAGATAAGATACACTTTATTGCTCCAAGTCGGAAATTCAGTTCTCGCATTAAAATACAGTAAAACAATTAAAAGAATGATCAAATCAAACTATAAAAATTACAATGTAAAAAAGATATCAAACAACAAAATATACTACCATTGTGGAAAATTATAATAATAGTGATCATCATCATCTTCATTGACTAGAAGTCCTAATTGCCACACATCATCAACAGCACCAACATCACCACTTTAGAAGCCAGTATGGCTGCACTAGCAGTTACCAAAAATGTCTACATTACGTTCAAATTGAAAGTGATTATTTGAATGATTTTTTATGTTAATGATTATTATGTTAAGGATTATGTTGGTAAAAATTATAATAATAATAATGATGGTAAATATAATGTAGTATTTAATATAATAATATATGTCTTATATGCTGTAACACCATTTATGTTCTTTTTTTCATTAATAAATCTTTAACTTTATCTTTATTTTTGATTATTTATTATAGGCCTAGTACTGAAATTTGATTAAAATAATTTCTTTTAATTGTTTATATCTTTTAATTAAACAAATCATTTTGCAGAGAAGATAAGCTTCAATGGATGTATAAAGGTGCTGATGATCTTGTAGATGCTGAAGACTACCTTCTAGGAAAGAAAGTTGATCAAGCCATTGTCAGAAAACAAAGAGGAGAAAAAGATGAAAAGGTATTTGCTTTATCTTGGCTTTTTAGAGTGACTAGTAGTATCTGTACTTGTAGACCGTATTTTCACTAGCTTTGATTATTTAATACCATTATGAATATGGAACATTTTAGTGCTATTCATATAAAATACAGCACAAAGTATGAAATATTCACACATCGAGATAAAAGAGACAAATAAAAATAAAAACTTATTACATGACTCTTAACTCTGACTCAGAGACACCTGCCTGTCCTTAAGCAATGGAATATTTAGCATGTAATCTGGATGTTAATGCTGTGGTTAGCCTTACTGTACCTCTTGGCCACTCGGTGACACAGATCTAAGGAACCCACTGAAGATAGATACAGCTGATGGCTTACTTGTAGAACCCCCTTTTTAAATCGATTACCTTGCCTGTATATCCCTTGCACTTTTTTGTTATTAATCTTTAGTATGGCATTGTTTTAACTATGCCTGCTAATTAACTATTAATATACACAACTCATTTTTCTTATCACTAAGATCGTATAGTATATAGTCTATTATTATTTTATTACAATTCAGAGTCAGGAAGCTTCAAGTTCTGTAGGTGCAATATTTGATAATTCTGCATCCACCCAGGCTGTAGACATGGCAAACAAACTCCGTGAAGATCCTCTATTTATGATTAAGTAAGTTTCTATCTCATGGTAGGCTATGCAGTGGCATAATTTAAAGGGCCTTGGGACACATCCTCTTTATACAATCCCCTCATCAGTCACTCATGTTAATACTCATAGGTGTACCATTAGCAAAACATGCACTCAGGTAGTTAAAAATCCCTTCATTCCCTCAGTTTTCACCCACTTTTCCGTTATGCACCCTCACCATCATGTCATCATTTTATGCAGCCTCGCCTTTAATCCCCTATCTGCCTTCCCATCAACATACCTCCATGATGCTGGTGGTAACAAAGTAATCAGTATACTGGTGTTGATAAAATTGTTGCCATTGATCCTGCTGCAGTTGCTGCAATCATCACATTTTTTTTTGCTTATGTATTTTTATAAATTAATACTTTGTTTTATATATATTATATTTTTGTTAAATCTATATTTTATATTCAAGTTTACATTAGTTTAATATACAAAACATTCTTGATTTATTATCATTCCCAGGCAACAGGAATTGAACAAAAAGAAAGATTTATTGAATAATCCAGTGCGGATGAAGCAACTACAAGAACTTGTACGTCTGATTTTTATTTTTGTTACTATAGGTAATTCGACTATATCAGCAAGTCAATCTGAACATTACGTTCTAGCACTAAAGGGCTTCTTCATACCCCTGAAGCATTCACACAGTCATATGGCAATTGTGCTTTTTCAGTTGCTTCTCCAACTGTGCTGGTCTCGAGGAAACGGGGCGCCCTCTATCCAGCGTGTTAAACCCTTTCAGCAATAAAACACGACACCAACATTCAAAGATGCACATATGTTTATTTTCATGCCAATCAAACGGGTAAAAACTGTAATAACAAAGAAATATAATGAAATAATGACTGATTCTTGAAGTGTACATTTCAATAATTACGATTTAAACATGAAATAATCATGCATATTATGTTGTAATAAATTAACTCCCTGACTAATCGACTTCTACAGGCTTGTTTGACCTTCCGTAATACACAGTCCTTAGCAGCTATCCTTAACCCCTAAGACAAGAAATCCCCACCATACATGTTAAACATAACTCAAAACAAGGTTTATGCACAACACAATAGAACTTAGCAATATGCCATGGCTTCCATGTACAAAGTATATCAAAACGATGGTTATACATCCATGCCTAGTCATGCATGACCATCTCACACGTGATAGAATCTTCAATAAACTTTCAGAACTTTCAAACTGCAGCGCGGTGTTATTACAATCTATTACACCACATATTCTTATTAATTATAATACTATTGACTGGTATTCATATGTCTACTGGACACATGTTCATTATGATTATACAGTACAAATATTTATGTTTCCTCAATTACTGACAAAACTGAACTAGAGTAAACGGTGTAATTATCACTGGTCTAGGCCTACCGCCTCCCAAACAATGTTGCACTTTCGCATAGAATTAAGATACATGACGTTCAGCACACTTACTTTTAACCTGTCGTATACAACTGCACAAAGCAATCTAATGATAATAGCTTCAGACGTAAAACCATCTCATAACACAACATAATGTTTCAAACTCTAGAATTTGCATCTAAGGTAGAATTAGGTAATCGTTTACTTAAACTACAGCGTTTGCTTGGCCATCTAATACTTTTGGCTAACCTTTGAAACAACAGGTTGCCGCAAGAAATATACCATTCAAAATAGCCCAATTGGCAACACACGTTGCCACAAGAAAATGCTAAAAAAAATACTAAAATTAGCTGAATGCGCGACACCAACCAACTGGAATAACATCCCATTACACATCAAACATGCAACTCCCGTCATTACATTTAAATATCTTCTGAATAAAACTCATTTTATGTTATGGTTGATAAAATGGCCCCGAAATTGCTAAGTACCGGGATGGTGCAGCGGGGGATAGTTTAACCAATTGTAGTTAAGAGTAAAATACAGTATTTAAGACTTAGTTAAGCCTAGCTTAAGGTAGATAGGGGCGTCCTGGGTACGACATTAAACTCCATTCGGTCGAAGCGTAGGCGACTAAACTGACAACCCTCTCAGATATGTCTTAGTGGCTGCTGAGGGGAGGGTGTTTATGGTCACCCAGCAGCAAGAATAAGCAATAGCTGAACAAAGGGCGGATGAGCTTCTCGGAGTCAACGGCCAACCATTAATTAGTTTAAGGAATAGGAGTAGTTTAGCCTTATTGTTATTATGATTATTATTTAAATTTTCTTTTATATTTATTATTTTATTATTATTTGTATTTTCTCGGTTGGCCTATATTATTTCTGTGTAAAGCGCATAGGGGCAACGTGCAATATGCACTATATAAATATATTATTATTATTGTTATTATTATTATTATTATTATTATTATTATTATTGTTATTGTTATTATTATTATTATTATTATTATTATTGCTGCTGCTGCTGCTGCTGCTGTTCTTGCTATAATTTCTGTTACTAAGGTTATTATTGTTTAGATATAGTAAATAAATATAATTTGTAAATGAGTAGAAGATGCTTTGAGTGTGTAAAACAGTTGCCCCTACTGGGATATAATATAATATATAATAATTAGATATTATATAGGCCTATAACTTTCTCAAATTTCTTATTTCATTGTATTTTCTCTAAAAGCTGCAAAAATCTAAACAAAGTAAAAAAAAGAAAAAGGAAAAAAAGCAAAAGAAGAAGCAGCGACAGGAAAGCTCATCGGATGATTCATCTCACAGTGACAGTGACGATGTCAAAGTTCATAAACTTCAAGGATATGGCTTTGTGAGTTATCTTGCAAATGAAATGTATCTTTGATAAAGCAACAACCATGTTTGATCAGATTTTAATGGTGTAGAACATTAGGGAGCTTTTGATTTACAATGATGGAAAACATAAGGAAGTCATGTTAATGTAATTGCACATGTCTAAACATTGTGTTACTTCTCTCCTGAGACATGGAACGGTTGTCGACTGAATCTACGTTCAGCCCAGAAATAGGACTGTACTGTCTTAAACATTGGTGTGTCAGCCTTTGGTTTGAGACATATCTGCATCTGTGTCATAAGAAATTAAAATTGATTTAAGGTAGAATGTAGAGTGCACGCAACAGCAGTCACAGATGAGTGAATCCGTTTTACGTTCCCGTTCTATATTCTCAATCGAAAGCTCCTTAATGTCTGACTTCTGAAACAAGCATACATTATCATGTCCAATAAAACATTGTTTGTTGAGTCTGACAAACAATTGATATTAAACATGGCTTGTCACTTATAGGTTCAAGTAAACTTCATGATGCACTTTAAACTAGTACCTGTTTTATTCCTAGTAGTGTATTTGAAAGATATAAATTTTTTATCGTGTCTGTTTTTTGTATATCATATTTGTATGTATTGCCTAACTCTGATTACGAATAAATTCAATCAATCAATCAACTCATGACCCTTGAATTGGAAAACAAGCGTCTTATTCTTAAAGATGTATTGTCTCTTGAAAAATGTCCAAAAAACCTTAAAATCAATTATTAAATAACTTTCTCATTTTCACCAAAAGTATCTTACTGTATTGTATTAAAAATAATTTCCCCTAATTTTGTCTTGGATTATAATGAAAGTTAAATTTACTCATCTTTAAGTTCCGGTTGATAATTTTTATGTTACTTCAAAACAAAATAAGCAAGTTAATTTTAAAATTTATAATATTTTGTTCTTTTTCTGGGGACAATACTTTAAACACAGAAACAGCACTACTTAATGATGACAGTAGTGTGATGTTAAATTGGAAAGCCCATCTATTTTGATGATTTATGTTATTAAAGAATGCTATTTTTATTTGTTTTTAACCAGATAAGTTCTAAAAAGCTTAAAAGAAGTCCTGAATCTAAGCATTCTAGACATGAAGGAAGAAACAGAGGCAGCAGTCCTAACAGAAGGCAGGATAATTACTATAGTTACAGAAATAGGGATAGCTACAGACATCGCTCACCAGTAAGAAGGCAGAGGTCAATGTCACCAAATAGGTCATACAGTGGTGGAAGAAGAAGTAGGTCACCAAGAAACAGGTCATCAGGTTCAACTAAGTAAGTAATAACATAGTAACATTTAAAATAAAGTGAAACAACATAATTCTAAATTTCATGATATGTACCTCGAGGTCGGGGCTTCAATCCTCCGTCGTCATTTTCTCTTGTGTCTTTGAGCAAGGCACTTTTCTACATTGCTACAGTCTACCCAGACTAGCATTCCACACGCAGGGGAAGTGTCACACTGTCATCCGCTTCACGCTACAGAAACTGGGTGTCAAGTATTTACTTTTATTTTACGATAATAATGTGCATGTATTGAAGTTTATAATAGAATATGATTGAAATATCATCATTTAGAGTGTGATTTTTATATTGATTTAGAAAAATGGATGACAAAGAATTAGAAAGGAGAAGAGCAGAGATGATGGAGAATGCAAAGTCAAGAGATAAAGATCGCAGGAGTAGAGTTCAAAGATATCGGGTAAAGCATCATTTTTAAATGTCAATTCTGATAAATCACCTTTTTATTTTCTTTAGACCTGTAGATGTAGGCTGGAGTGCACATGGCTAACAGGAAAATGTTCATTCTTAATAACCTTAAAACATTTGGGCTGAGCACAGTTGAACTTTGTTCTATTTATACTGGATACATAAGACCTGTCCTCGAATATGCTGATGTGATATGGCAACCTGGAATCACTAAAACACTTAGTGCAAAACTTGAGGCTACTCAGAACCGTGCTTGTCGCATTATTTTAGGAAAGAACTATCAGACCTATGAACATGCTAGAACTCTTTGTAATTTGGACCCCCTCTATGAGAGGAGAGCAGTCCACTGCCTCAAATTTGCTAAAGGCCTTTCTCTTACTAGTCATTCTGCTGATCTGATTTCCCCCTACCCGACAACAATCTCATTGTAGAAGTCTACGCAATGGAAGTAATTATTCACAGCTTAAATGCAAAACCAATTTTCTAATAGTCCCATACCTTTTTACATAAATTACTCAATTTCTCTTAATCACTCCTCCCCCTTTAGTCTCCCTGGCTATTGAGGCACTGGCTGCTCCCCTCTCTTAGAACAATCAAGTTATCAAGTTGCTCC